AGACTACCCCCCCCCGATCGGTAAAGTGTCCGACAATGCGGATAAATGACCAATAAAACCTCAAATTACCGGTTAGCTTCGACTCTTATTCCCTCCTCTTCCACTTTTACTCGATGCTGAATGGACGTTGGTACACGTGGCCTACGGTGCCGGCCGGTGATCGTGGGGAAAATTGTACTGGATGATACTCCGAGGACTCTTTGATTATCCCGTGCAGTATTTATGAACTCCAGGGAAGGATTGAAATTTACGATTTTTTTTTTTTTTTTTTTTTTTCCAAAATCTATGACAATCGTCTTACGAACGCTTGCGCGTGAAATTCGCACGTTTATATGCTCGTGCGGGTGATCGAAGTTGGAAGCTGTTCGTATCGGGCTGTTAAATGGGAAATTCGTTTAGCGTACTGACAATTGATATTTTCGTGTAGATTCAATTTCAACGGATGATTAATATACTTGGAGATTTAATAACGTTTTAATTATCGTTCTCTCAAAGCTCATTGTACTGCTGGGTACTACTACTCGTAATACTGTTGGTTGTGAACTTATTAAAATTGAACATGGCGCGTACCGTTTGAATAAACAATTCCAATTTGGAGGAGTTCGAATTAATTAAAATACGTTGGGGGAGTTTGACAATTTTTTAAAAATAATTATACAGACGCAACGTGCGCTCCTTACGCTTCGTATCAGTAAGACAAGTCAGAGGACAGAGTGGAAAGGCTTAAGTAAGTTTTAAAAAAAAAAGGGATATAAAAGAGGAACGAAGATCCTTGTACCGTGAATGCGGCTGACGCCGTTACTAAAATGCAGAAAAAAAAGGCAGGATGGGCTTGAGGATAATCGAAAAGCATCGAAAGGAATTCAAACGAGCTTTAACTCCTGTGGGAATGAAAGAAGCTGGATTTCACATTGAAGGTGTCGCCACTGGTGTTCATTCTTTTTCACATTCCATCCGTGTCCGCATTCAGCAGAGATTCGTCTTTTTTTTTTTGCAACTCGCATACCAAAATTATTTCCACCGACCAGTATGGCGTTGCTGTGACGTAGGTATGCGTTTGTACGTTGGTATCGTGAATGACGTTCGGGGTTGCCGTTACTGTCATTAAAATATTTTATGCTTCGTCCGTAATAACGGACTGAGTTGGGTATATGGGTAAGCAATGAAATAAGGGTGGAAGAGAGATCCCGAGAGGGGTGAAACGCGGAAGGGATGAAAATGGGGATATAATATTGTTATCCGGATCTCCGTTTCATTGTGCTACGTCGTACTGCGGCATTCCGATTATAATTGACGCACGTGAGAATCTTATACGCACGAGAGTGTGTAATTTGGAATAAAATAATTTTGAAAAAAAAAATTTTTTTTGACTAATTTCATTACTTCATTAGTTATCGAGTGCCAATAAGAAAATGATTTTCTTATTCTGTGATTGTATTTTTTTTTTTTTTTTAATACAGCGGCCACGTTGGTTGCAATGCCTATTCAATTTGGCGACCCAGGTACAATGGGAATCCCAGGTAATGCACTTTGAAAGATCCACCGGGATACCTTAGGAATATCTCGGATACGTCGTTTGCTTTTATATTCGATATTTTGCATATCAAAATGCGAATCCTATTATACGTCTCTCGCTAACGATCTTTCGTATCGGTCGGCTTTCCCTTGTTAGAGAAAATTCAAAATATATATACGTAACCGCACAATGGCGGCAGAGTACCGGAAAATCGGGTGAATTTAAATACTAAACGTCTACATCGCGTTACGTGGAATATTGTATCATACGTAAAATTACTGTAGTATCTGCAGCTAGCAATTATTTGATAATGGTTAAAGTAATGGCTACTTAATGCAGACTTATCGTTATTGCCAGTAAGTACGTTTCAAATTGTTTGGCTTATCAAGGAAAATGTTCCCCAAGTAATACGTTTGACTAATATGCGAAACGGTCGTCATGCGCTTTGCAGGTGATACGAGTCGGTTGATGCTTTCGATGAAATAATCGAAAAAATTATTTTATCGTTCCACGTAAAAATTACAATTACGGGAAAAGGGTGATTTACGAAATTCAAAATTTTTTTTTTTGAAAATTAAAACTAAAAAAATTTTTTTTTTATTTCACTCTACATGTTATTTTACGCTATCACGCTGCTTTGCATTTTAATCGCGACGTACGTCCAGTATCCAACGTCACAAATTACGATTGCCCGACGCGGCTGACAAATGGCAATGTTTTCCGCGTCCGCAAAAATATCCTAAACAAAAGTAATTAAAATACTGTGGCTTCCCTGACGGATGGAATCCATTTGTAGTAACGGCCCCGCCAGGGTGCCCGTGTCACTCCCGCAGGAATTCTTTAGAATATCGCGCGGAAATAAAATATTGGAAAAAGGAGAGGAAAAAACAAAAAAGAGGAAAAAAAAAAGGAAACCAAAGGATTTGCGTTAAAATAATCGCTAGAGGTAGAATTACGGCTGCGGGTAATCGCGGGCGGCGTGTGTGTGTGTGGATAATAATAAATTTTTTATAAAGGAAAAACAAAGAAATATTTATCGCGTGCAAACTGCATGAAACGGATGCATCAGAAAATTGCAGCCAGCAACGTGAAATCGTTCACGCAATGCAACCAGCGATTTTGCAACAGATAAAGAGGTACAAGTGCACTTGGATACCGCGAAGCGATTAAAATTATTGCATTAAGCGTATAAACGGGGCAAGAGTGGAAGAAAGATATTAAAAATTGAGCTGATAAGGAAAAGGAAAATAATATCAAAGGATCCGGCACGGCTGACACGAGATAAAGATAACTGTACTTTCTTGGCTGTGCGAGTCGCTAAATTTGACTCACCGAATCGCCAGCTCGCTGACTTCGTGAGTCAGTAATAATTTCAACGAAAGATCCTGCGACTCGTTATACGTGCGAGTCAATCGAGTCGCAGAGTCATTGTTCTCGCGAGTAGCTACGTGAGACTTTAGCGAATTATTAACCCAGAAACAAAAGGAACTCGAGTACCCAATTAATATCCGCAGAGTGAACGGGACAGAGTCACAAAGGATCGGCGAGACTGATTAGCGAATAAGCTCAAAGGCATTTGGCGGGAACAATTTAAATTGTCGAATTTCCAATTTCCCTTTAATAACAATCTGTACTGTATAGTATTAAAATAAAAGTCAAAAATCAACCGTACCATTGCGAAACGTGCGAAATTACATGAGTATCCAGAAAAAACTGTCCGTCACCAATCCCAGGAGCAGCGTGACAAATTACATTGGATTTAGCATATATGACGTTATTTCCTTCAATTTGCCTCGTAGCAAGGCAACCTGATTGCACCAGAAATAAGAACGAAATGAACGATACTCTATTTACCCGAGAAAGGTAATTAAGAAATTTTGAACTAGGATAACTGCCAAATGGGCGCAAGAAGCAACGCTGGACACAGGGAACTCCCGAGAAAAGTAAGAGGACTCCGGGCCAGGAGGAAAGAAACGGAAAGAGACGGTAGAGGGTCAGGGAAAGCACGGATGGTAAAAGAAAGTAGATTGAGAGACCACGAGATATCGAGTAACAGTAAAGATTGACCCTTTCATTGTGGGACTTATCAAAGAACTATACTCAAGGTACGATCGCAAAATATTATTCAGGCGAACGTACGAGAAGCGTAGTTCGCGGGTTCTTACGGTAACATTCCAGGGTCACCGATAACATTAAGAATAGGTAATACTACTTAGAGATAAGAGTTCACGCTAAAGCACGTAATCTTTACCTCTGGCGACACGCGGTCTTCTCCCCAGCCGGAACCTGGAGGATAAATACGATAATATTGAGATACTAAGATAATTAACGCTCAGAGTATTAAAGATTTCGTCCTTTCGGCTTCGAGACGCTTCCCGTGCAGGAAGCGCGGAATAAAAGGATAGGCTTACCAACTTTGGACTTCTAAAGATTACTATTGCGAAACGATACGATACTGTCTTCTACTGCATCGAACGGAAAAACCCACCGGCCAAGACGGCTGTCAACGCAACAATGACGCACGAGGGGTTCGTCTTCTTACCGGTCGGACCTAGCTCCCTCGCGATAAGTCCAGTTGGGCCCCAATGGGCCAATCGCCTACGCGGAAGATTCCAGCCAATCAGGCTTACGCGTTAATATTCGAAACATGGCAATGGACTAATTCGATAACTATTTCACAATACGAAATTATTTTTTGACTACCCGACGCCTAATGCTCTATATTAGAGTGGATATTAACCAGAGCCTCCAACGAATTGTATAGCTACTATACGGGGAAGGACGGTACGCAAAATCGAAGTTCCTTATAGTCTGCGCGCGATACAGTGGCGTAGGGCGCCTTTTCGCGAGACTCGGAACGTATGGACGATCGACGGGGCCTCTTGGTGTCCAGGTAGCGGCGGGTAGTCGCTGCAGTCCGGTCTTGGGTTGACCAGACGTTGCGGTAGCGGAGGGTAGGGACTCCTCGGCTTAGGGTACATCCCTGAGCTCCCTCTTCGGTACGGATGCCTCCAACAGGGCACCGATAGCGGGACTGACGAAACGTGATGGTAGTCCATGGCTATGTTTCCTGCTGGTCGGCTCCCTACTCTATTCGGGGTCGGCCGGGACAGGGGAGGCGCCTGCTGATGTTAGCGTTCATCCACGCTCCCTGGCGTAACCACCGGCTGTTCTCTTCCGGCGGTACTGGAGAGGATGACGTTCTCTCTGCCGGTCTTTTCCTCGACGTGACGGTGGTTCGGCGTATCGCGTGAAATTATTGTATAAAAAAAAATAGCCTATTCTCGTTAAACATAGTAATCGGGACCCTCGAGTTCTTGGCCGGTACAGTCGGACTTTATCTCCCGAGGGACGATACTGCGTCCCGTGATCAAAAGCACGCGAACTACCGCATCGGGACTTTTGTGGCGTTAAGAATTAACGTCACAATGTATATATGAGCATACATGTGGTTTCGTATGGGTTTTTATGGACGATATGGGAGACGGTGTGGCAGACGGGACCGGCACCTGGAAAATAGAGTTTTCCTTATTCCATCGTGTTACGCGTGAAGATATAGGGAATACTGGGAAAACTGAGAAAACGACGTGGGAGTCTGCTAGCGTCGACCTGCACTTTGATCGGAATATATTGCGAGGATGTTGGAACGTCGAGAACTAAAAGACGTAAGGATGAGATGACGGTGAAATCGTGTTTGACGTAAGGAGAAGCGTAAAGGAAAGGCATATGGAAAATAAAAAGAAAATATTTTCCATAGGATAGATACCGATGTAGTGCGAGCCCCTTATACGGTTGTAACATTTTATTCGTTTGAAATTCAAGAATAAACGTCTTTTCTACGTGCGACTAAATCACGCCTATGAAACCAATGCATTTCGGCATACAAAGAGAATGCAGTGTTGATACACGACTATGATCTTAATGATCTATTTTGATACGATGTGTGCTGGTGCCTGTCTGCAGCCGATCGGGAAGAATATTCGACGAGGAGAAATGACGAGGAAGCAAAAAATTTAGAAATGAAAAAAAAAAAGGAAAAATAAAACTTCAATATGCTTCCTCGACTCTGTATCCTTTACGACGGTACGCAGGAAGTATCGTCCAACTTTATAATTCTCTATGTTTATGGATGGTAAGTCAGTTGGCGTACTTAGAAGTTGCTGGCTGTTGAAGAGCGACGGCTTGAAGCGGAGGGTTCAAGCTCTTGGAGCTTCGAGCTTTCGGTGATACTTTCAAGATGGTGATAAGAGAGAGAGAGAGGGGGGGGATAAAATATAAAATTTCACTTTTTATATTAATGCCGTTTGTATCCGACAATCCATGGCATTCCCCTCTACCCCTCCCTGCCCCCCTTCGAACCACTCTCTCGATGTCTCGACTCGATCAAAAGAATCTGGAAAACTGATTAAAATACGTTTTATGTGCATACAGCAAATATGAGCATCGCCATCATCCCTTCAATTCTGTATAAATCTGTCTTTCCTTACTACTCTCTTTGCCTCTGCTCTCATCTTCCGGTTCTCTTATTTGCTCCAGTTCGCCGCCAACGGCAAATCCTCCTACCAGCCCCATACGGATTGGTCTCTTGATATCCCGATTCCACGTGCATATACGTATCCTTATCGGTATTCTTACTTTTAACGAGATCTACGTAATGCCGGTGGTAAGAAGTAAAAAAAATATTTCGACCTCGTTTCTCTTTTTACTGGATTTGTATGAAATTGGATTTTTCGAAAAAAAAAAAAGAGTTAAAAAATATTCACGTACGGTTAACTTTTCAAAATTTAATACCACTCGTATTATTGCTCGATATCGTTGACCATATACGTGCCTCGTGATTTCATAAGGATGACGTAACAAGGTTTGTCGATTCGAACGTGAGACGCGTAAACGTCCCCACTGAATATTCAGCACGTCTCTCAGCTCGTAGGGCGAAGTAGGCATTCCGAAATAAATGATTCCGAAATTCGTAGGGGATGAAAGTCGGACCTGGGAGTGATGGGCGGGCGGTGGGAAGGTTCGAGAATATTCTGCAGCGAAATCCTCATTCTTGCTATTATATTAAAGTCCTTCTCTAAGGGAGGGTTACGTCATGTAAGTATAACGCGTATGCGAGCCAGTGACTATAGACATGCACGCGTGTGGGAATATACGGCAGCATTGAATAATTAATCATACGTGCACACCTGTATGTACCAGGGGTAGTGATACAAAGCCAACGAAGCACCCTTGTTCAATTTATGGAATCAATTCCGAAACGCATCCCTTGGGAGGAATTGAGAACGACACGAAAATCAATTTCGAATTGATTAAACGTTACCGTACGATACAAGTGTGTAACGGGTGTCTTATTTATTTCAAGAAAAAAAAAAAAAATCTTATCGATACAAGCGCTACGTAATGCCGCTTATCATTAATCCCATTTATCCATATCGATCCGTGCAGGGAATTTAATATTAGGTAAAAGACGATATGACACATTGGGTCCAATCACTTGACGGCAAGGGATGCTGTTAAAAAAATACACCCTAAACCTGACACCCCGTGATAAATCATAAGCACCTGCATGCCGTGCGCGAACCTCATGAATGAAGCATCGCGTCGGCGAATAAAAAGTAAAAAGATAAAGAATTTCTTCAACGAATGCACCACCGTCTGCGTGGGGCCAAAACGCCGGGTCGGACGTCTGCAGCGCTAAGGCGAAAGGAATTTTCGGAGATTCCGCCTAATGTATGCATGAGCTATTTTTCTGTTTTATTCGGCTGATCCCATAAACACCATGAGATTGCATGAAACTTTTAGAATCCACAGCACGAGCAACGTTGCCAACCGCCCCTCTTGAATAAACACAGTGGTGTATTCTGGGGGTATATACGGTACTCTGTATACTTCTGATGTATATATGACCCACGGAGATTTACCGCGTAACGACCGTATCCACGGTGACCGTGGATAGTGCTTCTGATTATTTAATGACGCAAACTCGGGCCCCCCCGTCTATCCGGGCAGTAACACTTAACCGGCACTCGGCCCGATAACCCGTGAGACTGATCTGGCCATTAAGGGTAGGCAGAGGGCACCACTGTTGCGGATTAAATCGAGCCACGCTCTCGATTGAGCCCCGCGCCGGTAGAGCGAGAGTGGTCGGCTAAGGTTGGACGGACTATAGCGATGGGAAAGGAGAAAAAGTTAAAGAAATAGAAAAATAAGCAGACCGAGTCAATGAGAAGGGTCGTGCATGGGAATAGGTATAAGCACGAAAGGCATGAATGGCAGAGGGGATTGTCGATGCTGCTTACTTTGGTAAGGAGGGTGCCGTTAAAAAGGACTAAGGACTATCCCGTGCATTCGCTCGGGGTGGAAGTGAGTTCCTTTACGGGGGTGGCCAATGAAGAGCTCATACGGGCAAGCTTTTGCATCCTCGGGGAGTCCATTCGAGTCAATTAAGTAAAGGCCGCCCCTTTATTATAAGGGGGTGATTTTTGTATGAGATTCTCAAAGGTTACGGGGCAGTCTCGTAGAGTGGGAGTGACTTCGTTATTCGTTACTCTTTGATTAAGTCGCGTGATTGTCACTTTTTTTTTTTTTTTTTTTTTTAATTAATTTTAACCATGAAATTTCGAAAGCCAAATTTCACTGTAAATCTCGCCGAAAATTCCTGTAACATCCGAAGGTGGCGGTTTTCGGCGTAAAAATCATGGTAAAATTTTTCAAAGTCAGATCGAAACCAAAATAAAATTCAAAATTGTCATCGGGTTACCTCGGAATAAAAGGAAGGGCAGAAGGGAACGACATAAATAAAATCCATCTTGAATGGGGATGATGGGCGATACCGATATCGGATAGGGGATGCTGGTGGTTTTTCGGGGTAGCTTAACGTTCACGCGTCATTACTTGTTTCTCGCATGAATAATTCCCTAAGAGTCAAGTGACATCGAACGCCATGATGGAAGCTACCAAACACGCAGCCCCTTTTCGCCCTGCATAACTTTCTACGAGAAACGTCACCACCTTCGCACCAACCATCCCTCAGTCTGACCCTCCAACCCCCGAGTTCGTACAACCACCAACCGCCCCATTGGCATAGAGGCGCGCAAACGTGATTAGTAGCGCGTGGGTAATGGAGTGCGCTCGATACGAATAGACATGAGGGAATCTTGGAGCTCGCTAAGGGTGGTTTTCTAGCCACCCTTATTCCGACGCTCCTTCCTTGATACCTTTCAGCCGCAACCTCCCCACCCCCCTCCCGCCCCGCGCCTCTACGGCCACAGACTTCGTGATAGCTTCGGCTCAAGATTCGCGAGTGGCATTCATGCATCATTCATGCTGGCACGATCATAAGCGATGCCGAGTTTACCTTCTATAAGACCTTCTGCTCCGGGGTTGGTTATATCGGCTGGATATTTTTCAAAAGTTGCATAGTTAGTTTGTGTAACGTTATTTTTTGGAAATAGTGTATTTCATTGAAAGGCGAATTACAGTTTTGTTTTCACTCTTTAATAA